CATCTTCATATACGATTTCAGTTTTCTGTATGTATATTTATGAATGTGTCACAATTTTCTTTTTCTACTTGTTGTAATCCAGTTTTTCTTCTTGTAGTTGAACTATAGGAACATTTTCCCTACTCGTGAAGAGATGTCAACTCTGAACAACACGCTTTTTGAAGTTAATGCCTATGATATTGCATTAGGGGAGGTGCCTGTGGTGCCTGCCTTTCACACTGATGATTTTGTCTCTACATCTCCACCTTGTCCTCAGAATATGGAGCAACAGTCTAAACAACCTTATCCTCAAAATACGAAGCAACAATCTAAACGACCTTTTCCTCAGAATATGGATCGACAGCCTAACCCGAGTTATGATCCTTTGGTGCGCATTGATCTATTGAATGCTGAAGTTGAGAAGTTGAGAAGTGGTGTTAGAAAGGTACTGGACCTTTAGCTTTTCTGTAGTTTATCAGTACTTTTTGTATATACATGGTTTTTTGGTTATAAACATGGTTGTTGATTTGCTTTTTTTTTTTGTTGTAGTTGACTGGTACAGTGACGACACTAAGCAATTATGTAGTTTCTTCCTTTGAAAAAGTATTTAGTTTTCTGAATATGAAGGAAACCAAGCAAATGAGGGAGGATATTACTGATTCTAAGATAATTGTTTACTGATAAAACCAAATCACTCAACAGTTATACCTTCTCTGAATCATCACTCAACATGCCTTCTATTTCTATTATTTTTTATTAGATTCCTCAGCGCGTGTCTGATGACAATACATCTGGTCTCGGCAAATTTGATGGCTATCAATATGATGTTGTTCCTGACTTTGTCAATCAAGTTGGAGGAGGTCGTGGGGGCTATGCGTAAGATGAGTCGGGGAGAGCGACCGGGCCAGATGAAATTCCGATTGAGTTCTGGAAGTATATGGGTATAGCAGGCTTGGAGTGGTTGACTGGGCTATTTAATGTTATTTTCAGGACGAAGAGGATGTCATATGAGTGGAGGTAGAGTACAGTGGTTCCATTGTACAAGAACAAAGGTGATATTCAGTGTTGTAACAACTATAGGGGTATCAAGTTACTAAGTCATACCATGAAAGTTTGGGAGAGGGTGGTGGAGGCGAGGGTGAGGAAGATAGTGTCTATATCTGACAACCAGTTCGGGTTCATGCCGGGTTGCTCGACCACGGAAGCTATCCATCTTATTAGGAGGTTGGTGGAACAGTACAAGGATAGGAAGAAAGATCTGCACATGGTATTTATTGACTTGGAAAAAGCGTATGACAAGGTCCCTAGCGAGGTGCTATAGAGGTGTCTGGAGATAAAAGGTGTGTCGGTAGCTTATGTTAGAGCGATCAAGGACATGTATGATGGAGCTAAGACTAGGGTAAGGACTGTGGGAGGCGATTCGGAGTATTTCCCGGTTGTTATGGGGATACACCAAGGATCAACGCTTAGCTCGTTCTTATTTGCCTTAGTAATGGATGCACTAACACACCATATTCAAGGGGAAGTGCCATGGTGTATGTTATTCGCTGATGACATAGTACTGATTGATGAGACGCGGGACGGTGTTAATGAGAGGTTGGAGGTTTGGAGACAGGCTCTCGAGTCTAAGGGTTTCAAATTGAGCAGGACTAAGACAGAGTACTTGGAGCGCAAGTTAAGTGCCGAGTCGAGGGAAGTAGGCATGGATGTGAGGCTTGGATCACAGGTCATCCCCAAGAGAGGTACTCTCAAGTACCTTGTGTCGGTTATTCAAGGGGATGGAGAGATTGACGAGGACGTCACTCACCACATAAGAGTGGGGTGGACGAAATGGAGGCTAGCATCTAGAGTCTTATGTGACAAGAAAGTGCTACCGATACTCAAAGGTAAGTTTTATAGGGCGGTGGTTAGACCGACCATGTTGTATGGGGCAGAGTGCTGGCCAGTTAAGAACTCTCATATCCAAAAGATGAAGGTAGCTGAGATGAGGATATTGAGGTGGATGTGCAGGCACACTAGGATAGATAAGATTAGGAATGACGATATTCGAGAGAAGGTGGGTGTGGCCTCTGTGGAAGACAAGATGCGGGAAGCGAGGCTCAGATAGTTCGGGCACGTACGGAGTAGAAGCCTGGATGCTCCAGTGAGGAGGTGTGAGCTGCTGGCTTTAGTGGGTTCGAGAAGAGGTAGAGGACGGCCTAAGAAGTATTGGGGAGAGGTGATCAGGCAGGACCTGGCATGATTGCAGATTTTTGCGGACATGGCCCTTGATAGAAAGGTTTGGAGGTCGAGCATTAGGGTTGTAGGATAGGGTGGTAGTCGAGGTTCTCCTCTTCTATTCCGGGGGTGAAGCGAGTTTGAGTAGGTTGGTCCTAGACAGGCTTGTGGTTAATGTAGAGTTCACACTAACCTTATTGTTTTCCATAGCTCTAGACCTTAGTTGTGGGTTATGGTTATTGTATGTCATCTACTTAATGGTTTTTAGGATGCTGTCATTATTTATATGGTTATGTTGACGTTACTAATGAATTGTCTTTTCTTGTTTTCTTGTTTTCTTGTTTTATTTTCATCTTCCTGAGCCGAGGGTCTACCGAAAACAGCCTCTCTGCCCTATCGGGGTAGGGGTAAGGTATGCATACATACTACCCTCCCCAGACCCCACTTAGTAGGACTTTACTAGGTCGTTGTTGTTGTTGTTTGTCAATCAAGTGAATCAAGATAATGTGCTAGCTGACGAGGGAGTTACTGATGGTGTTGACCATTGTATTTGTTCTGCATTTTATCTTTTTTGTCTGATTTTTCTTTTCTTCTTTTTTAAAGTTTTTTATTATTTGTTTTCGCTGTCTAAGGGGTAGCAGGTGATGTCAAGGGTGACACATTTTGGGATGGCATTGGCGATGAAGATTTAGTTGCGCTACAGATATCCCAAATTGTGCTTCACAAACAATCCATCATAGACGTAGAAGATGATTACATTTATCCTGAACAGTCAGTTCGACAGAAAATACCAGGAAAATATGTCAAATCTCCATATTTGCCAGTTTTTGATTCGGGGGCTTCAGGATCGGCGCACAAGCTCATTTTTGATATCAAGCATCCTTTCACGATTGAAATTGATGATTTTGATCCATTGTCGCCATTGGCTAAAGAGTTTTGCGCATTTGTTGATAATGGGATGGATACGAGGCGCAGGTATCTTCACCTTCTTTAATCTTTCATGTTCTGATTTTATACTTGTCAATGAATGTAGTTCTGATTACTTTTTATTTTTTGTGATTTGAAGTGCAAAATTATATATCCCAATGAAGTAAATAAGCTTGCGGAAGCTTTTACTTTTGGCTCGTGTCATGTGACCACGAAGGATTGGTTCCATCCACTTGCATATTGTGGTCAACCTTTGATTGACACGGTATTTAATCAATTTCTGTTCTAATGCCTTTTTTTATGTGTTGCATATCTTTATTGTTTGAGACCCCCATAGTGTATACATAGCTTTGTATAATCATAGTATAAGATTGTATAACATTGTATAAATATGTATACCTCTTTATAATAGTGTATAAATTTCTATATTTAAAAAATCTGGTAGTGATGGTTGTTCTGTTTTATTTCTTGTCTCGGCACTTGGATGTCCTCTTTTATTATTTGAGGAAGAGGGGAAAATATGGGTCGAGTGTTGCCATGCGGTTTACTACATCCGACATTGCCTTTGGTAATAAAATCAACTCTCTGTATAAAGATTTCAAATTGAATCAAGATCCTTCAGTGATTCCTGAAGGGCATGAGATAGAAGAGTACATTAGAGGATATTATTGTGATGCAAATGTATTGTAGCACATTGTTGACCATGTCTTACTCCCTATCTATATGAAGTGCGGAAGAGCAAAATTGGGCCATTGGGTTTTGGGGTTGTTTACGTTCATAGATAGGTGCATCCACATCTATGACTCTAACAATGGAGCTATTAATGATAGACTTGCTTTGGATGCTGCATTACCTTATGCAATTCTGATACCTTACTTCTTGAAGAGTTCTGATTTTTATGTCGAGAAGAAGGGCATTGATTGGAACAATGGTCCATATACCGATAAATCCCATTTTGATGCTTTGCAGATTAATCTGGGTAATAATGTGCCCAACATATCAAACGGTATGTTAATCTCAATTGTTTTACTATTTTACTATTAGTGTACCTATTTGAATCTGATTTATTTCTTTTTAATTACAGTGATTGTGGTGCTTTTGTTGCTGGCTTTGCTGATTATTTCATCGTTGGTAAGGAAATTCGAAAAGATAATTTTGACATTGAGACACTTCGCACCAGGTGGGAATCTCTGTTGTGGGATTATGGAAGAAAAAAACAACAGTCCGGTGCAATTAGTGGTGATGAAATCACAGGGAGATATTTTAGGAAGAGGAAGAGGGGACGACCGAAAAAGTAGTTCTGTTTTTTCCATTTTACTGTAGTTTTTCTATGTATCAGGAGTTGTTGCCTAGTTTTGTCTAAGTACTATTCTGCTACTTGTGAGATAACCTTAAAGGATATTATAGATGTTTTTATTTTTGTGTAATTTGTGGTAGTCATTACACATTGTGGCTGTGAATGACATAAATTTTAATGAATATTTCAGTTGCTTTTGTCCTTTAACAAAATATGTATTTTCATTATGGTTGCAGTTTTGTTAGTGTAGCAGGGTTTATACATATGTATACAATAATATACATAGTTATACAAATTTATACAAACTTATACTCTCATTTATACGTCTGTATACATATAATACCATTGATTGTTAGCAGTTCTGTTTTGTATTTCTACAATCTATCAATATATTTAGTACCATTAAAAATAACAAGACACTATTATTAGATAATCAAAACATGTATAATGAAACATCTTGATTGCTTATGAAACTTAACTACTCAACATTTGTAACTCTATTGTTTGTGAAACTTAACTACTCAACATGACAACAAATGTAATAGGAAGTGTTATGTTTTCAACTATTTATTTTGGTCGATTCCTACATGTTTTTCTATTGTGACCACCTTGTCCACACACAGAACATGAAAACGCCCTCTTAGACTCTTTTTCTGCAGCAGGTTTGAGTCTTTCCTTTCTTGGCCTTCCTGCATTCCTTCTCCCTTTAGGTGGTAGGACCACATCTTCTATCACCTATGTTGGGATTACCCATAAACTCTCATCTGGCATCGGATTAACTGGAAATTCATAAGTTCTAAGGAGTTTATCCTTCTTGTAGTAAAAAGAGTAATACTGGCCAGGTTTCAGCTGCTGGTTCTTCAAAACCGCCCAAGCATGCGGACATGGAAGTTCATCCATTTGAAATTTTCCGCAACTGCATGTTCCCTCTTCAAGGCACACTATGTTTCGCCTTACTCCTTCAAACACAGTATATAACTGCTCCGTAGCAAGCCTCACCTGCAAAAGTTTTTTTTTAAAAAAAAGTTAAAGAACATTTACATTATTATACAGAGTTATACATCCTTATACAAGCAGTAAAGTGCAAGTCAGCAGTGCCAAGCATCATTATATTTGATTCATTTTACCGTCATTTGCTCCGATGCAATTAGATTTTCCCGAAGGAGTTTGTCGTACTTTTCGCCAAGCTTTGTAGATGTCTCCATTGCACTTTTTCTGTTTTTGTTGTTCCACTGTTATAGCAAATTTGTCATGTACTCCAGCAATCGCATTACTGGTAACTCTCTAGCATCCTTGTTTGCTGCATTAATTGACTCTGCAATATTGGAAGTCATATTGCAGCCAATTTCGAACAAATAAGGCTGCACCCTCGGATCAATTTTTGCACATCTCTGTCATATGATACTCAAACTTCTCTATCGTGTAAGCTCTAGCCAAAGCAAAGAAGATATCTTTCAATTGTTTGTGATGTTTCTTGAATATGCGCTTTACATTCTGCCACAAGTGAAACATGCAAACAATGTGGTACTTCTGGGTACACAACTTTTGTGGCATTGAAGATGCTTTTATTTCTATCTGAAACTATATACATCCCCTCCTTAACTCCAAAAGTACCCTTTATCTGGACAAAGAACCACTCCCAAGATTTGTTATTCTCTGAATCTACAATTGCATATGCAAGTGGAAGGATTTTTCCTGTTTATAAAAAATAGATATTATGATTCAGACAATTATACAATCTTATACACAGTTATACAACTTTATACCAACTGCAAATTTTATAAAAACAGCAGTTGTGAAATCCTATACACTTTTATACATGAAACTACAACATTATACAAACTGCAGAAATAAGGTAGATGCAGTCAACTCACCAACTCCATCCTGTGTGAAAGCAGTCAATATGGTACCTTTATATGCTACTTTAAGGAAACTTCCAACAACAACCATTATTAGTCTGCAATGCTCCCAACCCTTGATAGATGCATATAGCGAAACATATGCATAAAGAAAGCATTCATCTTCTGATTTGTGCAACTTTGTAATCGTTCCTGGATTTGTTTGCTCCAACATATAAAAATACTTCGGCAACTCCTTATATGAATCACTCGGACTCCCTCTTATCATTGCCATTGCTATCTCTTTAGCTCTCCATGCTTTCATGTAGCGCATTTCAATCCCGTGTTGCTTTTCTATGTCCTCTATTATATCATTTGCGGTGTAAACTTTTTTTGGATTAACATACTTGTCCTTGACTATACTAGCAATTACACCCGAAGTAGCTTGACGTTTTGTTAAGTATCTTTCACCATAGCCGCATGTGTGATTATTATTGTAACTTCTCACTTTGAATATGTTTGTCTTGAAAACGGCAGAAGATTTGAAACTCCAAGCACAATTGTCATCCATACACATAAGGTGATACCTAGGATTAAAGATCATTCAACTTCTAAATACACTTGTATACAAAAACATAACTACATATATACTAATTTTAATACCCATATACAAATATATACTACTTTATACATATTTATACATATATAACAGAATATACAATTATTTGCATACCTTGTTGTGCTTGATCTCTTCACCTTGAATTGGAACCTCTCGCGTATAGCCAAGTTCTTCATCACACTGACAACTGTCTCTTTATCCTTATAAACTTGATCTTCCTCAACAAATTCGTTTAATATATCATCTATTATACCCATGTTTTCATTAAATTTCGTGTTTTCAATAAATTCGATATCAATAATCTCAGTGCTATCAATTGTGGATACATCTCTAGAATTTGAACTTGTAGCAACCAAACAGCTGGAACTTGTAGCAACCAAACAGCTGGAACTTGTAGCAACCAAACAACTGGAACTTGTAGCAAACACACAACTAGAACTTGTAGCAACCACACAACTAGAACTTGTAGCGACCAAACGATTATCATAAATCTCTTTCACTGTAACAAACAAGGGATATTCAGTGAAATTCAAGTTTTTCTTCTTTAATTCAATATACATCTTAACACCTGTATCGTTGTAAATCAGGATCGGTGGCAAACCAACATTTAGGAGAAAGTTAATCTCTATTATGTTTAACTCACTATCGATCATAATATGTTCCGAAATAGCTGCAACTAAATTGTTTTAGCTGAATGTTGACTCGATTATTACACAATCGCTGACGAAATTGATAAACTTGTTTTCTTCCCATTCACCACTATGAAGAACGTAAACTGGAAAAATCTCCATCGAACAAAAAATTGAAATCAAAATTGCAGCAAAAATGAAAATTGCGCTGATTAGCAGCAAAAAAATTTCACTTTTCGTGTTTGATTTGCTGTTAATTCGAGATGAAGTAGAAATTCTAGGGGTTTTGGAGCTGCATTAATTGCAAGATCTTGTTTTTGTAGTATTTGGGGAAAAAGATTGGAAAGAATCAGAGAAAATCCAGCTAAAACAAAGAAAATCCCGCTTCTTACTCCCAAAAAACGAAAATAACACCCCTTTTTCGGATATGTGCCTCTAATTTTTGGACTACTCAATTGTAAATTGAAATATGAACTATAAAGTTGAAAAGGAGGCAACCCAATTGTTTTAATATGAAATTTTCCCTTTTCTAAAAGAAGAAACCTTACAATGGGTTTTAAGAATCATTAACGCATGACAATTATAAATTAGAAATATGTTACAGTACAGATTACAATATTTTGTTAATTCCTTTTTAGTGTTCGATCTCTGAATTGTAAAAAATAATTTTTTTTTTCATTAAAAATATCGCCATTCGGCTGGAGTGACTTGCAATCATCAATAATATTAGTTCTAAGGTTTTACCTAAATAATTTTGGTGAAAACAAAGAGAGAAACACCTTGAGCTTACCGTCTAGACTACTACCACAAGTTATGGTAAAATAAATAGGACCCTCAAATATTAATTTTAAGTTTCGTATCGAGCCTGAAGAATGAAATTTTTTTTGCTGGCAAAGCGTTTTCCCTTTAATATTTCTTTCTGAATTAATCGGACTTCAATGCAAGTATTAACGTTGGGCTACCACGAGTTATGGTGGAAAAATATTTTTTTTCCTTCTTTAATAGGGAATATTTAGCCTTTAAAATTGATAACCATGAATAGAAGTTACTTATGCAACTTGTAATTAGAGAAACAAGATTAGATCAATTATTTAATAAAAAGAAAAAAAGTCGTTTCACTATCTTATTTATTGAAAACGAAAGAGACCAATAAACGAGTGACAAAAGAATATGCTTTACATTATAAAATGCTTTCATTAGCCAAAAGGAATGAGAACCTTAGCGTAACCGGTAAAGTTGTTGTTACATGACCAGGAGGTTACAGGTTCAAGCGTGAAAACAATATCTTGCAAAAATACAGGATAAGGCCGCGTACAATATACCCTTGTGGTCCGACCCTTCACCGGATCCCCACATAGCGGAAGTTTAGTGCACCGGAAAGAGACCAATAAACGAGTGACAAAAGAATATGCTTTACATAATAAAATGCTTTTCCTTAGCCAACCAATCACTTAAAAAATATGTGGAAAATCACGTACCTAAAGAATCATTTTTATTTTTATTTTTTTTTAAAAAGAAACTCCATTTGTTTCAAAAATCATTTTCTGTGGTATCAATCATTCTCGGTCATGCCTTTGTTTTCGATTCGGGGACAGAGTCATGTGAGAATCACATATTAGTTTGAGGTAATACGCCAAACAAACTTGAAAAAAAAAGGCAAATAATCCTCCTTTTTACGAGCAAATTTGGAGTTTTGTGAATAAGATTTATTGCTTTAGACTCAAATTATGTATATGTATGCAAAACAAAATTAATATCTATATATAGATATAATAAGATAACTCTTTTTGAATTCATAGGTTATGGGTTCGAGCCGTGAAAGTAGCCATTAGTACTTGTATAGAGTAGGCTGTCTACATCATATTTTTTGGAATACGGTCCTTTCCCGGACCCTACGTGAATGCAGAATAACTTGTTCACCGAGCTGCCTTTTTATTTTTTAACCCACTAACTTGTTAATGTTCTTTTGTGAGCTAGCACATATGCACTTTGTTGGCAATAAAGAAAACTAGAATTTCAGGAAATATACTTGTTATTTTAACTTATAATATTAACCTAGAAAATAACACATGCACTTTGTTAGCAATAAAGAAAAAATTATTAAATCCACTAGTGGCACCGAAGGCATGTATCCACTTTTGAACTGAAATAAGGAAAAACTCATGGTGTGATTTGATTCCTTTTTTTAATATAAATATTTATTCATTGTTCTTAGTCTTACGAGGAGAAAATACGTAATTCGAGAAATTTTTTGAAAAAAAAAATTCTACATTTTTTAAGGTAATACAAGTTACCCTTTCCAGACTCCACGTGTGGGATTATACTGGGTTGTTGTTGTTGTTGTTGTTGTTGTTGCTTTTAAGGTAAAATTTGGAAATAGATTAATTTTTTCTGTTGTGTATTCTCGATTAATGCAACCTCAGATGCTATGTTTCGATTCTCGATAAAGGAAAAGTATCGGCCTTTTTTGAACCGAAACAAGAAAGAGCTCTAATAGCTTAATATCCAATAAAACTATTAGATAAATACAAATTAAATACATATAAAAATTATTGCCAACAAAATGCATGTTCCTTCAATTACATACCTTTTTCTAACTAAAAAGTTAAAAGGAGTAATGTTGAAGGGAAAAAGAACTTTTGTGTGTTCATAACGTGAAGCTGAATTATATTTTCTGGTTGTGATGAAAATAATTGATTTGTTGGTATATTGTGAAAACTTTTTGGAATCAGTTTCTTTACTTTTTAAATTATATGACAAATTATCTACCCTGCACATGTACGCACACAGATATATATCAATTGTAAGTGCAAATTATTGAAGTGCATAGACTTGTCCTTAATTCCTTATCAAGTTAAATACTAAAAATATTAAAGAAAAATATAGTTTGAAAGAAATTAAATAGAGAAATATTTACTTCATAGTCACTTTTCCTGCAGCCTGGAATTGTAGTTTTTTACTGTAAAGTGCTTCTTAATATATTTGATCAATACAACAACGACGCCTCAATCCAAAACAAATTAGAGTCAGCGATATGAATCTTGACCGACCACATTACTCCATTTAAACTCATCTCATGCTAATATTATGCAACAGAGATTTGATTAATAAAATAAAAACTCTCAGAGTAACTGAATCACCATGTTCAAAATAGTACTCCTTACACTGTTCCAATACTAGTTATTCTTAACTCTATTTAGTGTACATTCCTTCAAAAACAAGAAGCTCAACTTCATCAAAAATATTGAACATCATCACATGACAAATAATTAAAGAGTTCGAAGCCTTGGATCGATGCCCTTCTGATCTGAAGTCAACACCAGAGTGGTTCAGATACCAGTTATAGCCCGTCTTGTACAAGAACTAAATTCTTTTACCTGTTCTTTCTTACACTCTACAACATAGTGAAGCGGTTTCAATGCTTGGAGTACTGCTGTAGGACATCAAAGTAGTTTGGGAAGGTTTTCCGAGTGCAGCCAGGGTCGTTGATGGTGACCGGAACATCTGCACAAGCAGCAAGAGAAAAAGCCATGGCCATTCTGTGATCGTCGTATGTATCAATTTCGGTCACATTTAATTTTTCAGGTGGGGTGATTATGCAGTAGTCTGGCCCTTCTTCAACAGTTGCTCCCAACTGTAGTATTCATGCACAAAGAAAAGAGTAAGGAAAGAAAGAACAAAGACCAACTTCTTCATCACTACACTAAGGCTTGGGAGATGCAAATGTGTTCAAAACCAGTAACGACTTTACCTTCCTAAGTTCTGTGCATATGGCGATCATGCGCTCAGTTTCCTTGACTCTCCAGCTAGCAACTGATAACAGAAAAGAGGAATTTTTAAATTAGCACAATAAAGAAAGAAGAAAAGAACAGGAAAAAAGAGAAAATACACAACCTTTCAACATAATACTCTGCTCAAATAAGAGTATTATGCTAGAAGTGAATAACTCATACCTATTTGCATTACAGTCAAACCTCTCTATAATAGACTCATTTGTTTCGAATATTTTTGGATGTTATAGCGAAATACTGTTATAGAGAACATATATTATAACATAACATAAAAATTGGTTCCGTAAAAGCTTGGCTTTTTATAATGAAGTGTTGTTATATAGGGACGATGTTATAGAGAGGTCTGAAAGTATAAAGATCTTCATACTCAGCCCATAGAAATCTTTAACTTTAGTATAATTGTTAAAGCTTGTTGAGCACATAGAATTATAAATCAGCTCAGTTTCTTAGATCGTATCTAACCAGAAGAGTATATTGGACTAGTAGTCACTAAAAGCGTATATTTTGTATGTAATGATGTGGGAAATCCTCTCAAGATTATGGATATAGCAGCATAGCAGATCTGGTCCCGCTCAGCTAGTTAATTATGCTAGAAATAAAAGAAAGTTTTGAATTCGATCTGGTCTCCAGAAAACAAACCGTCTCTTATAGCAGTGGGACCATCGGCAAAAAGTGCAACTACAGCAAGTGTCATAGCAACATCAGGCATTTTATTCATGTTCACATCAATGGCACGCAAATGCTTCATTGCAGAAGAATTCCTTGGTGGTCCTTTGACTGTGACGCTGTTCTCTGTCCACGTAACTTCTGCTCCCATTTTCTCAAGAACCTCAGCAAATTTGACATCCCCCTTCACAAAGGCAAACATAAACAGACAAATGAGAAACTTTAACCATGACATTGAAAGTCATCTCAATGCATTCATCGACTTAGGTGCTATTGTAAAGAATTAAGAATGTACCATCCACAATGCTTTAATACCTAACAAAAACCAAACGTGTACATATGCAATACGTGGGTACTTTTTTTCTTTCTCTGATAATCGAGAAATCCCCGAGGGCTAGTGGTGCATAGTTCAAAACTCTGTGGATAATGAGCCCACCCCTCTATCCTTCACCACTTCAATACAAGACTTTTGTCTGTGGTAGCATTCGAACCCATGATGTGAGTCTAATTCACCTGTGGGGTTGCACTCTTACCACTAAACCAAAGCTCTGGGGGCAAATGTGGGTACATATTAGGATGCTTCGACAAAGTCAAGACAGAAAGATAACAGATACGTTCAACATGCAAACCCCTCCCCTGGCTCAAACGGCCTGAGCAATACCTGTAAACTACTTGTCCCACAACCTTCAACAGTGACAGTTCCACCTGTGACGGCCGCTCCAGCCAAGAAGTAGCTAGCACTTGAAGCATCGCCTTCCACATAAGCTTTTCCAGGAGACCTAATATTACATCAATCTTTACTTAAATAGTTTTGGTAATAAACTTCTCAAGCCATTAAAATGATTTGAAAACAGACTTACTTGTATTTTTGACCTCCTCGGACAACAAACCTGTCCCAGCTACTACTGTGCTCCACAGAAATACCAAATCGC